GAGGTTATGAGAAGGAGCCCTACAGTTCAACAACCCCTTCAGGATTCTTATCTTTCTGGTGAATTATTCCCATTTTTAAAATTATATAATGGCCCTTTTCATTCCTAGAAATGCTTTTGTGTTAAAGACAATTACATCTTATTTCAGTATGGCTATACTAGCTTACTTTTGCTAAGCATATCTTTCACTGTGGCTCATTTTTCTTCCAGGGTCCCAATTTTATGAAGGGGTCTCAAGTCTACTTTCAACCTTAAACTAGTCCAATGCCATGTTTTCTGCTTAGGGGGTGGGTTTTAAAACCTGAGGTTCCTAGCCATTTGTCCCCTCTCTTCCAAGGCTTACTGCTCTGGCTCTTAAGTGTCCCTTTGATTTCTGAAACTTGAGGATTTCCTTGTCTTTATTTCATATCCAGCTATGTGACGATTTCCCTTTCTAATTTCTTTGTTTGTAGCAGGGGAATGGTGGGTTTTCCCTTAAAGTCCTGGGCAGTAGTGATGACTGTTTGCCATGTTGCTGGAATGGATTCTTGAACTCACATTTTAAATCAAAGACTCTCATCCTTGGCTGCATATTGGAATCACCTGGGAAACTTCAGTAAGTACTAATTCCTGGATCCTTTGCAAGAAATTCACTTAGTTGGTCCGGGATGACACATTGACATTGGGGCTTTTAAAGACTCCCCAAGTGATTCTAACGCAGCCAAGGCTAAGAACCCCTGCTTACACTTCAGCAGCAACCACTCCAAGCTGTGAGTTCCATAGAGGCTTCGGCAGGCTTGGGAGGTGGTGGTCTTACTAGGGCAACAGCTGGACCTGTTTTGTAGGTTTCTCCACTCCTCATCTTTATTTCTGGTCCATTTGTGTGTTATCCTGGTGGACCAGGTCAGATAATTTTTTTCCATCTTCAGTGTGTTCCCTGCTGACATCTCTGAATTAGACTTCTGCTTTTCTCTCTGTATCTATCTACTCCAATATTTTTCCTGTTAAAGAGGCCAGCTCTAACAGAAATGATGGCTTGTAGGTTTAAGATGCCCAAATGCAGTGTATTTTCCAACTTTTCATTTTGATTCATTGCTGGTCTTGACCTTTTTCAAGTTTTCCACAAACTGTGCCTATTGATGAGTCATAAAAATGTCCTAGGCAGTAACTTGTGCTGTGTGCCAATGAAAAAATTAAGCATGTCCATGATATTCCTTTTAATTTTACAAGAAATTTGTGACTTTGGTGCAATAGTGACATGTGAGAAATGGCATTAAACTGTGAAAAACAAAACTCACTGTTCTTATTTAAGAGTGGATGGTAGATTTAACTGTTGGGGCTGCTGGGTTGCTTGATATTCTTTGTGGCAGAGAGAAAAAAGGTTCTTAAGGACTCTACTGATTTCCAGATATTTAGTTAAAAATCTTTTCCTTGAAAGGTCAGCTATTCTGTTGGGTAGGAGGACAGACTGGTGTGTTTGATCGTCCAGTGAGCCATTGACCTTCATGATGTTCCTTTGCTTTTATTCCTGGAAGCTGTTCTACAGATTGCACTTTAGTTTCTTTCTTTTCTTTTAAGATTTACTTATTTAAGAGAGAGAGAGAGAGAGCATGCAAGTGTGAGTCAGGGGAGGATCAGAGGGAGAGAATCTCAAGCAGATTCCCTGCTGAGCATGGATGCCAGTGTGATATTCTATCTCATGACCCTGAGATCATGATCTGAGCCAAAATCAAGAGTTGGACGCTTATCCAACGAGCCACCCAGGAGTCCCTGCACTTTGGTTTCAAATGGGAAACAAGAATTGGTTATGTGAAGATTTGATAAGTAGTCACCCAAAGCGCATGCTCTAATGAAAATGGATTACCCTGTCTTCACTTACGAAAGACAGAAACTTATAAAACATTTAAATAGGTAATACATATATGTGGCTTAAAATTGAAAAAGCACAGAATGGTTTATGATAGGGTGCCTGGGTGGCTCAGTCATTAGGCTTCCACCTTCGGCTCAGGTCATGATCCTAGAGTCCTGGGATCGAGCCCCGCTCAGGCTCCCTGCTCAGTGGGAAGCCTACTTCTCCCTCTCCCTCTCCCCCTGCTTGTGTTCCCTTTCTCACGATCTCTTTCTCTCTGTCACATAAATAAAATCTTTTAAAAAAATGGTATATGATAATAAACAGGTCCTGTCAGTATCAGCTGTGCTAAATCATGTTGATTCTGTGTACTCTTGATATGATGTGATGAAAATGGCACTTTACTTCTGTGGTTTTCCTTCCAAAAATTCATAACACCAGTGTAATCATGAGAAAAATTCCATTAGAGGGGCAGCCTATAAAATATTTGACCATTACTCCTCAGAACTACCAAGGTTGTCAAAAACAAGAAAAGTCAAATTGTCACAGACAAGGGGAAGGAACCTAAGGAGACAATTATTAAATTTAATGTTGAATCCTGAATGGAATCCTGGGACAGAAAAAAGACATTAGGTAAAAACTTTTTAGAAATCTGAGTAAATTGTAGACTTTAATAATAATGCATTTATACTGGTCTCATTAAATGTGGCAAAAGTATCATACAAATGTAAGGTGTTAATAATGGCAGAAACTATAAGGTGTAGAGAACTTCTCTACAGTATCTTCTCATTTTCTGTGTAAATCTAAAACTGTTCTAAAAAATGATGTATTCTTTAGAAAGTGGTCTTCCTTTCCTGAACCTCCAATACCCTGGTTTAAGGTCTTGTGACTCCTTTGAGAGAGATTTTATGCCACTATAAACACAATATATGTATATCCCTCTTTCTTCTGCTTAAAAAAAAAAAAAAAGTGGCAACATACGTACATAGTATTATTTCAGTTAAGTATATTTGGTGATTTTTTCATATTATTTCATATGTTCATTATTATTCATAGTATTTCATTATATAGCTATACCACAGTTTAACTGGTCTCCTGTTTTGGGGTAGTTAGGTTGTCTTATTTGACTGCAGTTGATTAGTTTATAACCCTATCATTTGGAACAGAGCAGGTAGGAGTTGGGGTTTGGGATGGTGGGGGAGGGAATAGTCGAATTTTATTTTGGTATTTAGTTGGATTTATTTATTTATTCATTTATTAATTTAATACTCCACTTATTTCTGGGAGAGGATTTGAGGGAGATTGTTTAGTTATTTAAATCTATTTGATGAACATCTCAGAGATGCCTCCTGTGTACTAATCATAATGCTGAGTAAGTGCGGGTGATACGGAAATCTCTTAAGGTTCAGGTCCAGATCTTAGCTCATGGTGAAAGAGATAGTCCCAAGAATATAATCATATTTTTGTAGTCTCTGCTAACGCTATGCTGCAGAAACACAAACGACGAAGTGACTGAACTAGACATTTTTGAGTTTTAGATGTCATTCCAGATGAGCTCAAAAGGCAGTTGAAGGTTCATGGTTGACTCATTTGGATGGTTTTTGTCTTCAAGGAAGGGAAGGTCCTCAGTTTTCTTCTGTTCATGGTACCTGGAGTCAGAGACTTTATGTTTGTAGAGCAGACTTAGCCTGCCTCCACTCTGAGGCAGCATCTGGGAGATGTCCTGTCGATTGCTTACCTTCATAAGCAGTGAAGAATACTCAGTAGCATGATTTCCTTATGCTTCAGTATGCATTCAGGGAAAGTATTGGATACTGTGGTTTGGTGAAGCTACTACACACAGTTGTGGAACCATTGTTGATTTTTTCCCCCAAGGAATGGTTCATCCAGGAGAAGGCATGGGCAGGGAAAAGGATGAAGTGTTTCGCTTTTCACTGGTTCCTTTTCGTGACAAGGCTTTCTTCCATGAGCTAGAAGTCTAGATTCAAAGAGAGTTTATTTAATTATATACTTATTTTTAATTACAAAACAAATACATGATTGCACTTCCACAAGATATTCAAACGCTGTTTGCCTTGACTCCAATTCCATTCCGTTCCACAGAAGGAACCATTTATTGCATCATTTGGTGTATATGGAAAATGTGTGTGTGTGTGGGTATGTTTGTGTTTTACATTATTGTCCTACAAAATACACTTATTTGATTTGTTCACTTAGTAAAATGTACTAGATAATATTTCAAGGCATAACATGTTGATTGACCTTACTCCATTTTTATGGCTGTAACAAAATTAGTTCAAACTTTCTGCTATTGTTAGCCTTCTAGATTATTACCATTTTTGGTTTATGATTATGAACAGTGCTGTAGTGACCCCTTTGCACATTGTGGGGGTTTCTCTGGGTTATTAAGAAGTGATTTTGCTACTTATAAGATTTAGGGATTTTAAATTTTGCCAGATACTTACAACACATTGTTAACATGAGAAACACAAGTTGTAGATTTGAATGGATAGTGTCATATCATTTATGTTGGAAGAAAAGCCCAGATATGTCACAGGAACATATTCTATTGGCTAGACTGGTAATAGTTGAAAACCTTCAAGAAGATACTAGATTTGAGAATGCTGGTCAAAGGGATTTTGGCCTTTTCAGTGATATTTAGGTTTTTATAAGAAGGATGTGTGCATGTCCTATTCGAATTATAAATAGTTACCAATAAAAATATAAAAATGCTTAAATAATTTTTATCTATCTTTATGCCTAAGGCATAGAATAGTCCCGTTTTTAACCACATACTGACCATTTAAAATTTTGATCATGTGTTAGGGTGTGGAAAAAAAACCAGTATTTTTCAAAAAGTAGAATTAGGTGATGGTAGGTGAGGGACACGTTCTTTGGCTGCTGTTATCCCAGTCAAGTATTTAATCATCTTGGGTTTTCTGGATTTTACAGTAAAAAGCTATCTCTTATTGTAGCTTTCTGTTTATAATATTTAGATTCTAGTACAAGTGACTAAAATTTAAAAAACTTTTACTGTTCACCTTAATACTCTTTAATGTAAAATAGAGTATTTAGATATTGCCAGTGTTGTATGAATACAGTAAACAATTGCTTAAATTATGTGACTCCAGAGAATAGGTGTCTTTAATATGTAACTTTTTTTTTTCTTCAAGAGATGTGAAAGCTGGAAATATTCTTCTTGGAGAAGATGGCTCAGTACAGATTGCAGGTAATGATTAGTATTTCTTTTTATTTAATGGTCAGTAGAACCACCTTACCTATGTTTTGTGTTTTCAGGGCTAGTTTTCTCTTCTAGTCCCTGGACTGTCTCTAGTCAAGCAGCCTGTATTGGCACATCCCTTCTGACTCTCAAGATATTCTCCACTATTCATCCTTCATTTTTTATCTCAGACATTTTTCTGTCCATTAATCATTACCTTCCAGTTATCACTCCTCACCCCCGTGAAGTCATCTTCTGTGGGTTCTCACAGTGTTCTGTGCTTTCCTTTAAAGGAGAGGTAGTCAGGAATCCCCACAATGTGTATGAAGGAATACGCTGTGGAGGAGTGATACTGAGCTGCCTCTGTCCTGGGGCAGTTGGGGTATTTGCCAGTTGGAGGAGGCATCTGAGAGGCGGAAGTGCACTGTTGGCAAACTCAGAGCTGAAGAGATAAGAGTTGGCGTCCAGGGTCTACCAGAGGCGGACATGCTGGTGAAATGCCCCTCTTGCAGGCTGAGACTCCAGAGTGGTTGTACCACAGGATTGTTGAGCAAGCCACTCATCTGAGGCCTCAGCTTGGTCCCACACCACTGGGATGGTCAGGTGTTTGGCAGAAGGAAAATAATCACCCAGACCCTAAATTGTTTCTTCAGCTTTAGAGGATAATTTAGGTGCACATCTTCATGTCCCAACCTAAGGAATACTTTAACAAAGCCACATATTGCTTCAGCATAAAAGAAAATATTGACAAATTTGACTCCTTTAAAATTTATAGCTTCTATTTATTGAAAGAGGAACAAATGGTTTATCACCATTAATAAGCAGAAAGGCAAACCACATAGTAGAGAGGATATTTGCAGCATGAAATAACTGATACCGGGCTCAAATTTAGAATACATAAAAGAACCATTAAGAAAAGTCAGATAAGGGCACCTGGGTGGCTCACTTGGGTAAGCAGCTGCTTTTGGTTCAGGTCCTGGGGTCCTGGGATTGGGTCCGACATCCGGCTTCCCCTGCTGGGGGAACCTGCTTCTCCTTCTTCTGCCTGCCACTCCCCCTACTTGTGCACGCTCTCTCTCTCTCTGGGTCAAGTAAATAAATAAAATCTTTTTAAAAAGAAAGAAAGAAAAATCAGAGTAAAAATGGGCAGAAGATGGGCACCTGGGTGGCTCAGTTGGTTAAGTGACTGCCTTCGGCTCAGATCACTATCCTGGAGTCTCAGGATCAAGTCCTGCATCAGGCTCCCTGCTCAGGAAAGAGTGTGCGTCTCCCTCTGACCCTACCCCCCTCTCGTGCACTCTTCCTCTTTTTCTCTCTCAAATAAATAAGTTAAATCTTTAAAAAAAAAATGGATGTCTTCCCAAATGAAGACAGCAAAACATAAATGTAATAAAAGGTGTTCAACATCACCAGTAATCAGTTAAATGCCTATATTATAGACATGCCTATAATGTCTGTCAAGTAAATGTCTGTCAAGTAAATAAATAAAATCTTTAAAAAAAAATAAAAGTTATGTTAACACTATTCTGTAGCCTACTAAATGTGCAATACAGGATTTTTAAAAATGCATACTTTAATTAAAAATACTTTATTGCTAAACATGCTAACCATCCTTTGAGCTTTCAGTGAGTCATAATCTTTTTGCTGGCAGAGGGTCTTGTCTCTGTGTTAATGACTGCTGACTGATCAAGGTGAGAGCTGCTGAAGGCTGGGGTAGCTGTGGCAGATTCTTAAAAGAAGACAATGACATTTGCTACATCAGTTGACTCTTCTTTTCACGAATGATTTCTCTGTAAGCATGCAGTGCTGTTTTACCCACAGAACTTCTTTCAAAATTGGAGTCAGTCCTCTGAAACCTTGCCTTATCAACTGAGTTTATGTAATAGCCAAAATCTTTGTTGTCATTTCAACAATCTTTACAGCATCTTTACCAGGAATAGATTCTATCTTGAGAAACCACTTTCTTTGCTCATTTGTAAGAAGCATCTCTTCATTCATTCAAGTTTTATCGTGAGATTGCAGCAGTGCAGTCCCATATGCAGGCTCCACTTCTAATTCTAGTTCTCTTGCTGTTTCCACCACATTTGCATCTGTGTTCTCCATGAAAGTCTGAACCCCTCCAAGTTGTCCATGAGGATTGGAACCAACTTCTTACCAAATTCCTGTTAATGTTGTTATTTTGACCTTTTCCCATGAATCATGAATGTTCTTAATGGCATCTAGAATAGTGAATTCTTTCTAGAAGGTTTTCAGTTTACTTTGCCCAGATCCAGGAGAGGAATCACTAGCTTAATAGAATGTGTTTGTTAAATAAGACTTGAAAGTCAAAATTACTCCTTGATCCTTGGGCTGCCGAATGGATCTTTGTGTTAGCAGGCATGAAAACAATATTAATCTCATTGTATGGCTCCGTTGGAGCTCTTGGCTGACCAGGTGCATTGTCAGTGAGCAGTAGTATGTATATGTGTGTGTATATATATATATATTTTTTTTTTAAGATTTTACTTATTTTAGAGAGAGAGCATGTGTGTGTGTGTGTGTGTGTGTGTGTGTGTGTGTGAACAGAGAGGGAGAGAATCTGAAGCAGACTTCGCGCTGAATGCAGAGCCCAACATGGGTCTTGATCTCATTAACCCTGAGATAAAACCTGAGTCAAAACCGAGAGTCAGTCAGATGCTTAACCAGCTGAGCCACCCTGGTGCCCCGATGAGCAGTACTATTTTGAAAGGAATCTTTTTTATCTGAGCAATAGGTCTCAACAGTGGGCTTAAAACATTTAGTAAACCTTGTTGTAAACAGATGTGCTGTCTCCAGGTTTTATTCTTCCATTTACAGAGCACAGGAAGAGTAGATTGAGCTTCATTCTTAAGGGCCCTAGTATTTGTGGACTAGTGAATGCTGGTTTCAACTTAAAAGTCACCGGCTGCATTAGCCCCCAGCAAGGGAGTCAGCTTGTCCTTTGAAGCTTTGTATTGACCTCTCTAGCTAATTAAGTCCAAGATGGCATCTTCTTCCAGTAGAAGGCTGTTTTGTCTACATTGAAAATACGTTGTTTAGTATAGCCGCTACCCTCATGAATTAACTTAGCTAGATCTTCTGGATAATTAGTACTTGCTGCTCCACCATGCACTTTTATGTTACAGAGATGGCTTCTTTCCTTAAACCTCACGAACCAGCCTCTGCTAGCTTTGAGCTTTGCTTCTGCAGCTTCCTCACCTCTCTCAGCCTTCTTAAAATTGAAGAAAGTTAGGGTCTTGCTCTGGATTAGGGTTTGGCAAGGAAATGATGGGGCTGGTTTGATCTTCTGTCCAGACCACTAAGACTTTCTTCACATCAGCAATAAGGCTGTTTTGCTTTTCTTATTTGTGTGTTCACTAGAGTAGTAGCACTTTTAATTTCCTCCTAGAACTTTTTCTTTGCATTCACAACTTCCCTAACTGGTACGAGAGACCTAGCTTTTTGCCCATTTCGGCTTTCAGCAGGCCTTTCTTATTGAGCTTAATCATTTCCAGCTTTTGATTTAAAGAGAGAGACTGTGTGACTCTCCCTTTCACATGAACACTTAGAGGCTCTTGTAAGGGTCTTTAATTGTCCTAATTTAACTATTGTTGTGTCTTAGGGAATGGGGAGGCCTGAGGAGAGGGAGAAAGACGGGGGAATGGCTGGTCAGTGGAGCATTCAAAACACAACATATATTAAGTTCTCCATCTTATAAAGACCTGGTTTGTGGTGTGCCCAAAACAATTAAAATAGTAACATCAGAAGTCACTAATCACAGGTCACCATAGCAAATACAATGATAATGAAAAATGTCAAAATACTGCAAGAATTAACAAAATGTGACAGAGACAAGAAGTAAGCAAATGTTGTTGGAAAAATTGTGTCAATATACTTGTTCAGTGCAGGGTTGCCATAAACCTTCAGTTTGTAAAAAAACAAAACAAAACAAAAACCAACACAGTATTTGTGAAGCCTAGTGAGGCGAATCATTAAAAAATGAGGTATGGGGACGCCTGGGTGGCTCAGTGGGTTAAAGCCTCTGCCTTCGGCTCAGGTCATGATTCCAGGGTCCTGGGATCGAGTCCCACATCGGGCTCTCTGCTCAGCAGGGAGCCTGCTTCCTCCTCTCTCTCTCTCTCTCTCTCTCTACCTGCCTCTCTGCCTACTTGTGATCTCTGTCAATAAATAAAACCTTTAAAAAAAAACAAACAAAAAACGAGGTATGCCTGTGAAATAACATTAGGATACCAAGTTATACTGGCCGTCCTGGCCTAAACATCCGACGCTGCAGTTGTCAGTGTCACTGTAAAGCAAGGAAAAAAATCTCCTGTTCCAATGGTGAGAGAATAAATGAGTATAAACACTATATTAAGTTGAAGTATGCATATCCTAAAACTTTGGCTTCTCTAGGTGTATGGCCTAGAGAAGATCATGGTTATGTGTGTGTCACAGTGCTCATAAGCATTGAAATTGTGAAATAGTCCCAATACCCTTCAATAGTAGAATGAACAAATATAAATAAATTATGGTTAATTTATGCATCGGAATATATGCAGTGATGAATGTAGATAGAACTACAACTACATTCAAAAGCATTAATAAGTTATACAAAGATAAGGTGAAAGAAAACAGTTGAAATAGATATATAGCACATGATTTCATTTATATAGGTTCAGAACCAAGCACAATTATGCTTATTGTTTAAAAAGGTAAAATCAAGTGGTAAAAACAAAACAAAACAAAACAAAACACACAAACTAAAGAGGGGATTCTGGTGAAGTAGGAAACACCAGGAATCTCTCCACATCCAGACAACAGCTGAACCAGCAGAATGTGTGATGTAACTTTTATAATTCTGCAGTTCTTCCAAAGGTTTGTAAGTTCTAGGGGAAGATTTGGAAGGTAAATTGCGGTAAATTTCAGTCAATTTCAGAGCTGTGTATCCCCTAGCCATCAGCCTGCTGGCAAGCAAGCAGCTATGCACCTGTTTTTGGAGAAGCTTGCACACA